TTGCCTGCATTTGAAGTGTATAAAAGGCAGTCAACACCTTTATCGGGCACTCTGGTTGCTTTTGGACACAGCTCCACTCCAGAGTCCCAGCTGGAAATAAAACCGTGGTTTTTCAGACCGCAGGAACTCTCTTTGTCTCTTTTCCTCAAACATTCTCCCTGCCATTTCACCATCTAGTCCAACCCCCTTCTGCCATACAGGAAAAGCACCATCAAAGTAACCCCAACAGATGGCCATCCAGCCTCTGTTTAAAAACCTCCAAGGAAGGAGTTTCCATCACCAAGGCTGGAACTTCCAGAGCTTTTTACTGTAGAAAAAATGTAGTTTGTCACCATGGCTCATTGTTATCGGGTCATTTGGGTGAGGCACCAACAAAGAAGACTAATGACCTTGTAGAACTACAACTCCCATGATTCTGTAATATTGAGGCTACAACGTCATTTCAGACTGCATTAACTCTGCAGTGTAGATGCAGCCAGAGTCCCAATTCCTCCTCTGCTATCCCACTTTGGAAAACATTGCAGTTTCTTTCTCCTGTTTTTCCCTTGCCCACCTTTGTCTTTCTCCGACTTCAATTGCTGCAAAATGAGTCATTAGAAGAGCAGAAATGCAGCCTGCAGATAATCACAGGGGCAAAAAATCTGTCTCTTAGTTTGGTTGCAAATTGCTGGTGTCTATTCTATTATTTTCCCTATTATCTGCGAAGGGATGGCATACCTGTCCGTTTCTGAATGCTTTTGCCATCTGTTTTTCCCATTGCAGGTGGTGCGAGACCAGATCTCTCACTGCACCGTGAAGCTGCGTCAAACCACCGGCCTCATGGAGTACTGCCTGGAAGTCATCAAGGAGAACGACCCCAGCGGATTCCTACAGGTTCGTGCGCCCTCTTTCCCTTCCCATATTCCCACAGCATCTCATGTCTCTTGTCCCACAACCAGGATGGGTCCACATGGATGCATTAATGCAGTTTGACTCCACTTTGACTGTACTGGCTCAAACTATGGAGTCATGGGGTTATAGTTTTGGAGAGGCATTGGTGGGGAAGGCAAGAGACCTTGTACAACTCCAGCTTCCATGATTCCATAACCTTGATCGTTGTTCTGGCACGGCCGTGCCAGGGGTTTGAATTCCCTTTTTCTTTCTTTGCTTGTTTGCATGAATTCCTGGAGGCTATGCACTTTGCAATTTGGTAGCTTCTTCCAGATTGCAGTTATAGGGCCAGCAACCTGTCAATCATTGTTGCAGCCTTTAGATCCGCCCCTTTCCCCAGGGTTTTGGAGGGAAAAGGGACCTTTAGCTCAGTTATCATGGAGAAGCCTTTCCAACAGGACATGTGAGATTCTCCCACCTGTAGAAAGCTTCGTTTCTCACAAATTTCGGGGAAAAGCAGTTCYACAGCTTTACTAAGAAATACAGCCAGCTTTGCTGGAAGGTAAAGGACACCAGCTGGAAAATCTACAAAGTYTTGGCYGGTAAGGTCTACTCRGSTTACCCATAAAGCAAAYTGGAAYCGGGAGTAGGGCCCCAYGCCAGCCYAARAACAGATTGCCCAGGGAAGGGTCAAGGATTTCCTTTATARAAGAAAGAAACAGTTCTTGAAGCAAGTTGCCTGTCCCTTGTGGGCAGATTAAGAAAGCTACCTGTTTCCCAGAGTTTTAAAGTATTTGATTGATTTGTTGAAGATTTAAGCGTTAATAAAGAACCTTGTTAAACTTTCTAAGCKTCTAAAGACTTTGTATCGGGAAATCCATAGGGCCACTCAGCCGAGGCACCCCGGGCGCCCCCTGGGCATATAGAGACCACGTCCTGTTAATAGACAATTGCTACAGGCCCAGCGTGTGACAGYACAATTGTCATCCTTTTGCAGGGAAGGCTCAWGGCCTTGTCAAACTACAGTACCCATTTTAGTTTCCGTGTCAGGAGCAACTTGAGAAACTGCAAGTCGCTTCTGGTGTGAGAGAATTGGCTGTCTGCAAGGACRTTGTCCATGGGATGCCAGATGTTTTGATGTTTCACCATCCTTGTGGGAAGCTTCTCTCATATCCCMGCATGGGGAGCTAGAGCTGACAGAGGGAGCTCATCCACRCTCTCCCGAATTCGAACCTGCAACCTGTCGGWCTTGGTTCTGCCAAGGGTTAAACCCACTGCGCCACTGTGGTAGTTCAAGTGGAGTCAAACTGCATTAATTGTACTGTGTAGATGCACCAAGTTGTCTACTTTAAACCATCTGTAGCCATTCATTTTGTTTTCCTAATGTTCTATTCTGGGTCCAGTTCTGTTCAAAAACGTACAACAACCCCGATCCGTAGAGTGTCGTTCAGTAGTGGAACTCTCTGCCCCGGAGTGTGGTGGAGGCTCCTTTTTGGAAGCTTTGAAGCAGAGGCTGGATGGCCATCTGTCAGGGGTGCTTTGAATGCAATATTCCTGCTTCTTGGCAGAATAGGGTTGGACTGGATGGCCCATGAGGTCTCTTCCAACTCTTTGATTCTATGTTCAGCTGTCCAACCTGCCATCTCACTTTTATCATCATCATCATCATCATCATCATCATCATCATCATCATCTCTCTTTATCTCTCTAAATAGGGACCCAAACTGGCTCTTTTTCACTTTGGGTGTGTCTACTACACTGCCAAATGAATGCCATTTGAACTCAACGACCAGGAATCCTGGGAGGTGTAGTTTTACAAGGCCTTTAGCTTTCTCTGCAAACTACAACTCCCGGGACTTCATAACCCTGAGCCATGGCAGTTCAAGTGGAATCAAACAACATTCATTCGCCAGTGTGGATGCACCCTTTCTCCATAATTCTTAACCATTGGATTTCTTTGGATGTGTTGCTCCATCCTTCACCATGTCCCGATTTCCTTGTTTCCTCACTCCCAGATTTCCGATGCACTGATCCGGAGGGTCCACCTGACCGAGGACCAATGGGGCAAAGGCACGCTCTCCCCCCGGATGACCACCGATTTTGACCTGAACCTGGACAACGCCCCATTGCTGCAGTCCATCCACCAACTTGACTTCGTGCAGATGAAAAGTAAGCACATTCATGTTGATATGCTTTGGTTTATTGGCCACAACCAATAATACTGTGCAACACTATTTTTGTTCCTGGATTATAAATTTATTATTTATTTATTTATTTACAGTATTTTATATCCCGCCTTTCTCACCCTGTAGGGGACTCAGGGCGGATCACAATGCACATATACATGGCAAACATTCAATGCCGTAGACACACAACGTATATAGACAGAGACACAGAGGCTATTTAACTTTTCAGCTTCATGAGCATATGCTTTTGAATTCCGGTCACCGGGGGAGCTGTTGCTTCACTGTCCACTTGTGACACAGATGAAGTACTTCCTCATTCTTTTGCACGCTGCTGGAGAGTTTTTTATGGCATCATAAATTAATTAAATTATCCTCACCACATAAGCGGTACCTAAATTTCCTGCTTGACGGATACAGCTGTCTTTTGGGCTGCAAAGGTCGACAGCAAGCTAGACAAATGGTCGGGAGCTTACTCCGACTCGGGCTGGCTTCAAACTCATGACCTTTCAGTCAGTAGAGATTGAATGCAGCTGACTCCCAACCAGATGCACCACAACCTAATTGATTCTAATATAAAAACATGAAAAAAAGTTGAGTTGTTGTAGGTTTTTTTGGGCTATATGGCCATAGTTTAGAGGCATTTTCTCCTGATGTTTTGCCTGCATCTATGGCGAAACGTCAGGAGAAAATGCCTCTAGACCATGGCCATATAGCCCGAAAAAACCTACAACAACCCAGTGATTCCGGCCATGAAAACCTTTGACAATACATGGAAAAAGTTGATAAAACTGCAAAAACTTTGTTTTTGTTGGACATTTTGCAGCACATTTTTTCCCTGGTTTTTCAATGAATATCTCAGACTCTCAACCAATTCAACCTAGTTTGTGGCAGCCACAAAAACAAAGTTTTTGAAGTAGAACAAGTACTTTCAAAGTAAGTACTTTACAATTATATTTATTTATTTATTTGCCATATTTATATACCGCCTCTCTCAACCCAAAGGTGACTCGAGGCGGTTTACAGTCAGCAGTCAATGCTCTCAACAACATAAAATACAGTTAAAACATTACATATAACATAGACCATATAAAAGCAATATAACAATAAATACAATAAAACACAAGTCCACAGCGTCTCATCACTAAAATCGTTTTTCCGTTGCATTAAAACTTTCAAACCAGGAACAGATTTTTTTTTTGGTTACATAGGGTTATAGGTGCATCCACACTGCAGAATTAATGCAGTTTGACACTACTTTAACTGCCATGGTTCACTTTTATGGGAGTTGTAATTAGAGGAGATGCCATCACTCTTTGGCAGGGAAAGCTGAAGGCCTTGTCAAACTACAACTCCCAGGACTCCGTAGCGTTGAGCCAGGGCAGTTCCAGTGGTGCCACACCACATTTAGTTCTACAGTGCAGACGTGCCCTAAGTGTTTCGTTCCGGGTGGAGGTTAGAAATCCGGGTTCCAATTGTAACTTCCATGTAGCTTCCTCCCCAGTGCCGGCCGCTCCGTTCCTCCAGCTGGAGGAGTGCTGCACCCACAACAACAGCGCCACCTTGTCCTGGAAGCAGCCGCCGCTCTCCTCGGTGCAGGCGGAGGGATACATCCTGGAGCTGGACGATGGGAACGGCGGTCAATTCAGGGTAAGGACGATGGAGAGGGGTCAGTATGATTGGCAGGCCCAAATCAGAGTACTCTCTCTCTCACTCACTTTCTGTATGTAAGGACCCTCTTGTTGGATATGACTGGTTTCCAACTCCCATCATCCTCTATCCTCTATCAGCCCCTCCAACCCAGCCAGTATTTAAGGGTATGTGTACCAAGTTTGGTTCAGATCCATCATGGGTTGAAACCACATGGCTTTCTGGATGTGGCCGGACTACAATTCCCATTATCACCTATCACTCTTTCCCAAACACAACTAGTATGTTTTGCTGGATCATGACAGTCCAGATTCATCAAGCCATGTAGGAACTTTTGTGGGTACAAACCAACCAACCAACCATTTGGCTTATCCCAAGTTAAGACCTCTTCCCAAAACTGTTGTATTTTTGGACATATGTAGTTCCAATCACTGTACTCTTCGCATCCTCTCCAGTATAGTTTGGATACTCCTTTGTTGATCCTGTGCAACTTGAGTGAATAATTATAACATTTATGGATAGTTTTCAATGTGTTCTCCCCAATTTGAGCCAGTCCTGATTTTGTAAGGTAACCTCAATAGAATTCCATTTACTTTCAGCTATTTCCGTTCCCAAATCTGATTCCCAAGTAAGTCATGTTCCTTTAGAATTGCTTGGATTAGATTAAATAATTACAAGATGCAAAACAATGGTGGAAATCCTGTTGGTCTTTTCTTGGGAGTCATCATAGGTTCCTTAGCCTTCTCTGCCAAAGAGACTGGAGCTACATGGCCCTTCAGATGCTGTTGAACTTCAGTCCCCAACAGCATTTTTTGGGGGTCCCCAAAAAATCAGACACTTAGGTGCCCCTGGATTTGGAGTCACAGAGAGACGTTTGCAACACGCACACTTCACCTGCGCTGCTCCTGTTCTCTGTTCTCCCCCCTGCCTCCGTGCTTATTAAATCAAGCACACTGTCTTTCAGCCAAGAGAACTCTCACAACATAATGTTTATTATTGTTCCAAACTTATTTACAGTTACTTACAATCAAATGGTCATAGCAGAAAAGAGACGGAAAAAAGAAAGATCAATTGCATGCTTGCTGCTTATTTATAAATTTATTTATTTCATACACTTTTACGCCGCCCTTCTCCCCCCAAGGGGGGACTCAGGGTGGCCTCACATAAGCACCGTACGATGCTATCATTGTATAAATAGTCAACAAATACATTAAAACGTTAAAAACAAATTATAGAATCCTAGAGTGGGAAGAGACCTCATGGGTCATCCAGTGCAACCCCATTCTGCCAAGAAGCAGGAATATTGCATTCAAATCACCCCTGACAGATGGCCATCCAGTCTGTGTTTAAAAGCTTCCAAAGAAGGAGCCTCCACCACACTCCAGGGCAGAGAGTTCCACTGCTGAACGGCTCTCACAGTCAGGAAGTTCTTCCTCATGTTCAGATGGAATCTCCTCTCTTGCAGTTTGAAGCCATTGTTCCATTGCGTCCTAGTCTCCAGGGCAGCAGAAAACAAGCTTGCTCCCTCCTCCCTGTGGCTTCCTCTCACATATTTATACATGGCTATCATGTCTCCTCTCAGCCTTCTCTTCTTCAGGCTAAACATGCCCAGCTCCTTAAGCTGCTCCTCATAGGGCTTAAGGAGCTGGGCATGTTTAGCCTGAAGAAGAGACTAATCATTAAAACAATAGATTAGTCATGCCAGTTAAAACCAAATCCAGGTCTGGGGTTAATTCAGTGTCGCAGTATCCAAGTCTACTTTCCAATTGCCACAGTCCACTAATCGATTCATTGAAACAATAGGTTAGACACACCAGTTAAAAACTAAATCCAAGTTAATTCAGTGCTGCAGTATCCTAAGTCTACTTTCCAATTGCCGCTGTCCACTAATCGAATGCCTGGTCCCAAAGCCAAGTCTTCAATTTTCTTCTAAAGGACAGGAGGGAGGTGGCCAACCTGATGTTTCTGGGGAGAGAGTTCCACAGACGGGAGCCACTTCCGAGAAGGCCCTGTCTCTCATTCCTACCAACCGTGTTTGTGATGGTGGTGGGATCGAGAGCAGGGCCTCTCCTGAAGATCTTAAACTTCATGATGGTTCGTAACAGGAGATACGTTCTGACAGGTAATCTGGGCCAGAACCATTCAGGGCTTTAAAGGTTAAAACCAGCACTTTGAATTGTGCTCAGAAGCTGATTGGCAGCCAATGGAGCTGGTGTAACAGAGGAGTTGTGTGTTCGCTGTATGCTGCTCCAGTGAGCAACCTGGATGCTGACCGTTGTACTAGTTGAAGCTTCCAGGCAGTCTTCAAAGGCAGTCCCAACCCTTTTCTCAGTTAATAACCATGGACATGACATCTGTCTCCTTGACAGGAAGAGTCGTTCTGGTTCTGGTTCGGTCTCTCTAGGCACTGAGTGACCTTAACCCTTTAGTTACCCAGTGCTACCAGTGTTCCCAGTGTTCTGGGAATAAATTTTCCTGGCGTGTAGTTCCACCAATCAATTAATGGCCATTGGTATGGAATGCTGGGAGTTGCAGTTCAACAACATTGGGAAGGCTGCATTATTCCCACTCTTCTGCTAGCCCCACTCTGGGTTAAAGAGCGTCTTATGACTTGAACCACACCTAAGGCAGCTGTCCTGCATTTGGTGTTTAGGAGGTGTACGTCGGGAAGGAAACCATGTGCACCGTGGACGGCCTCCACTTCAACAGCACCTACAGCGCCCGGGTCAAGGCCTTCAACAAGAGCGGGGTCAGCCCTTACAGCAAGACATTGGTTCTCCAGACCTCCGAAGGTGAGTTTGGGGTGCAAAGATTCCTTCAAGAAGATGGTGGGGCAGTGATCAACAACGAGGAGGAGAGATGCCAATCACTTCCAGCAGGGAAGTGAATCCATTCCAGTTTTTGGTAAATCTCCAAAAGATAGCAGACCATCTCCAAGAAGAGGCCACTGAACTGATTCAAGGCTCCTTGATTATGAATGCATAGACAGATCAGCTCTTGAGGCAGTTGGACAGTGACTCCATTCCAGCAGTAAAGGAACTATCCGAGGTGCTAGAATCATTACAGGATAAGTTCAGCACCTTGGAGAGCTCAAACAGTGTAGAGTGGATTCGCTCCTCCAGCAACTTGGGAGGCATTAGTCCCCATCTATGCGCCTTCTAATATCGACTATAACTGCAATCACATCTTTAGACACCCCAGTGTCTACAGTGTCAACAACACAACCATTCAATGCTAAGGCTTCCCACCAAAATGGAACTGTAGAGGAGAGTCTACCAAACAAGCCAGTACCTGCCGCATACCAGTACTGCCATCTGTTGAGTTATGAAGGTGGAGGCATTACTTTTCATTCAACCCTCGTATGTTGTCTTTAATTGATTTGATGGGATCTGATTTGATCTGCCATTCCCCAAAAGACAGGAAACTCTTCTAAGATACAGGACAGAGATCTTTATTCTGTCGCGTGCTGGGCCTGTAAATAGTTGTCTTTAAAACAGGACGTGCAACCTTTGCCCAATGGGAAGCCAGGGGGCCCAAAGAGAAGTTCTCAGAGGTTTCCACCACAAACAGTCTTTAGATGGCTTGAGAAGTACAACAAAGTTTTATTAATGAACAATCAAACAGAAACTTCTCTTGTCTTCAGTAAAGTTAAGCAAATGATTCCAAGCTTTTAGGCAACTGGTGAATTCCTAATCTTGCCCACGAAGGACAGGCAACTGTCTTCAATAACTTCTTCTTTAAAGGAAAATCCCCTTTTTAACTTCTCCCAGGCTGACTGTAATCTAACCCTTACTGATGTGGGCTCCGCTACCGGGTCGAACTGCGTCTCGAACGCCGAGTGGACCTACCAGCAAGGCAGTAGATGTTCTCCAGCTGGAGTTCTTTTAGTCTTTAGAGCTGTTTTCCTGGAAATTCTCAAAGCTGTGGGGATGCTTCCCTGGAAATTCATAAAGGTTGAACCTTTTGTACAGGGGAAGTTTACACACGTCCTGTACATTGGCTAACCTTGCTGAGACTAACTAAAAAATGACTCCCTTCCCTTCCCAGTTGTCCTGAGCAAGGGGCGGGACCAAAACTTAATGATGATGGACAGGTGGCTTGCCCTATAACTGCAACCAAAAGAAGCCACCTATCTGCAGAGTCCCTGAAACTTAGGACTGCAAACAAGCATTCAATGCAAAGCAAACAAAATTGGAGCTCCCGGTACAGCTGTACCAGAACAGTCTTATTTTATGGTCCATCATCACATATGGTCAATTGCATTGGCCAACTTCTCCACTCCATAGCCTTTATGTAGAGAGATGTTTTGGGATTTTTTTTCTGGACTCACACCCGGTTGATGCCATTTGAACCGAGCTCTGACCTTGAGTTTGCCTTCCTATCTCACGTCTAGACTCGGAGCCCGAGGAGCAGGCCCTGACTTTCCCTGTGCCTTTGGAAAGATTGCAGCTGCGTAGATCCACCCCTTTCTCTTCGACCCTTAACCTGCAAAACAGCTTCCCGGGGAGATCCTACTTTGAGCTCAGGAACTCATCCCACCACCAAATGACCTTGCATTCCTCTTTACAATCCCTGAATTCAGCTGGTGGGTGAAAGCGAGCACGCCGGGCAGCGCCTCTTGAGCCGTGCTTCTGGAAGTCCCTGTTTCTTATGTTGTTGCTTTTTTTGTCGCAGGGTTTACTTCTTGTTTTGTGGCTGGTTGGCTTTTGCATTTCCTTTCTGGATCTTTTGATTTCGTTTCATTTGGTCCCCTTTCCTGCCCTTTGCCTTCTGCCCGCTTCCCTTGAGATGTGTGCCGGTTGGAGCCAAGCGTTCTGTGTGGTCAGTGGCTTGCTTTCTCAATGTGGAGGAAACTGTGAGGGCCTAGACATGTGGGACATGTATGTTTGTGTGTAATAATGTTTATGGGTTGTTGGATTGCATAGAAGGAAGCCCAAGGAGGTCCCTGCTAATGGCAAGGAGGTCCCTGCTAATGGCTCTCTTATTGTAGTTGGATCCAGAATTAGATGCCAGCATTACAAATGAATGGATTGCATCTCTCAATGAAATATAATACTCCCTCAACTGGGAGCATAGAGCCATAACTAAATTAGGAAAAACACAAAGAGAACACTTCTTTAGGAATCTCTATATAATCATATTGGAGGGCCTACAAATGCCTAGGGAAGTGGTCTCTCTCCCTAGGTCCTCCAGCAGAATAATAATAATAATAATAATATTATTATTATTATTATTATTATTATTATTATTATTATTATTATTTTACTGACACAAAAACACAGTATGTCACAGCAAACGAGATATATATGCTGGATTATTATTATTATATTATTATTATTATTATTATTATTATTATTATTAGAAACACAACAAGATGAGTCCACAGAAGACACTCTGCTGGCTGTTGTATTGGATCACACGTCGGACACTTCCCAAGTGTCTAGGACTGTGTGATGTATTGGCAAATAATGCGTGCAGATCCCAGTAAGGTGGCCTTTTGCAGCTGGCAGATGGTAATCTTGTCAGTGCCGATTGTGTTTAAGTGCAGGCCAAACTCTGCTGGCTGATTATTATTATTATTATTATTATTATTATTATTATTATTATTATTATTAGAAACACAACAAGATTAGCACATAGCAAACAAGATCACTCTGCTGGCTGTTGTATTGGATCACACATCAGACACTTCCCAAGTGTCTAGGACGATGTGATGTATTGGCAAATAATGCGTGCAGATCCCAGTAGGGTGGTCTTTTGCAGCTGGCAGATGGTAATTTTGTCAGCGCCGATTGTGTTTAAGTGCAGGCCGAGGTCTTTAGGTACTGTGGAGGATAGCCATAGAATTACCTATATATGCTGATGGAGAACATGTCTCTTGGCATGTGGAGGTGCAATGGTAGGTCATCCAGTGTGATTTCATCAAATCCATGAGTAATAATCAGATACAAAGAAGTTAAATATATAAATGTGAAGATCTTACTGTTCAATGCTGGAGAGATAAAACAGAAAGAGAAGGCCACAGAGTTAGTCATGAACTGATGCTCATTAGTCAGTTGGTTGCCCATGGTTGGCATTTGGCAGAAGGATGGCATAGTCCCACCACCTCTGAGCAATGTGAGTGCAGAGAAATGAGGGATGCCTGGAAGTCTTTTTTATTGCTCCCTTTTCACAAAGCCAAACTATAGGAGACATGGATGCCTTTACCCAAAGTGCAAATTTCAGAGGCATCAAAGTGCTGCCGTTGCGCAAGTTTGACAGTCAAACATATAGTTAGACAGTTCTTTTTAGTAATTCCTTCTCAATTAGGAAGACAGGGTAAGGAATACTGAATTCCTCTTACTCGCTTCTGTCCAGAGGGTGAATGTCGAGCAGGGTGGGGCCACAACATCTGGGAGGGAAGGAAGAAGCCAACAAAGTAGATATGTATAGGCACCTACCCATACTCCTATTCATCCTAATCCACATATACTAGCAAAGTGTAGCAAGCCTTTAGAGCTGAATGGAAGATTAGCACCCAGGCCTTTCTTCTTGCCCCAATTCCTCTAAAATTGGAGAAATTACATACAAAAACTGGAGACTTGGGGCCAAGCCCTGAGATCTGGCAAACGTCTCTGTTCTGTCCCCCAAGTTAATCTTAGAAGGTGCTCTAATCTCACCAGGGACAGAGTTGGATTGGCACAGGTGAACAGTTAACAAGGAATTTATCTATATAAATAAAAATGTAATATTCATTTGTGGGATTAACAGAACTCAAAAACCACTGGACAAATTGATGCCAAATTTGGACTCTACACCCTTAACAGACCAACGAGTGAGCATCACTCATAACACCCACCCCCCACAAAAAAAGCAGCAGAAAGAACTTAAAAACTCCAAAAAGTTAAATGACAATACAGGTGTAGGTGCCCGGCTTACTAACCATGGAGCCCTTACAAGAGAGCAGGGATGAACCTCTCTCAAGTGCTGCTTTCGAGCCCAACTCTTTTCCGGCCTTCCGGAAAGGAAGGAAGGACAAAAGGAAAGAGGGGATGAAGGGGAAAAAAAGCAGAGAAGGAAGGAAGGAAAGAAAGAGGTAGGGAGGGAAGGAAGGAAGGAAAGAATGAGGGAGGGAAAGAAAAAGGGGGTACAGGAAAGAGGTAGAGAAGGAAAGAAGGAGGAAGGAAAAAAGAGAAGGAAGGAAGGAAGGAAGGAAGGAAGGAAGGAGGAAGGAGGGAAAGAGGGAGGAAGAAGGAAAGAGGAAGGAGGGAGGAAAGAGGGAAAGAAGGAAGGACAAGGAAAGGGGAATGAAGGAAAAAAGCAGAGAAGGAAGAAAGGAAGAAGAAAGAGGTAGAGGGAAGGAAGGAGGAAGGAAGGAAGAAGGAAGGAAGGAAGGAAGAGGAGGAGGGAAAGAAAAAGGGGGTATGCAGGAAAGAGGTAAGAAGGAAGGGAGAAGGAAAAAAAGAAGGAAGGAAGGAAAAAGAGAGGGAAGGAAGAAGGAAGAAGGTGGGAAAGAGGGAGGAGGGAAGGGAAGGGAGGAGAAGGAAAGAGAGAAGGAGGAGGAAGAGGGAAAGAAGGAAGGAGAAAAGAAGGAAAGAGGGAGAAGGAAAAACAGAAAAGGAAGAAAGGAAGCAAAGAAAGAGGAAGGAAGGAAGGAATGAGGGTGGGAAAGAAAAAGGAGGGTATGCAGGAAAGAGGTACAGAAGGAAGGGAGAAGAAAAAAAGAGAAGGAAGGAAGGAAAGAGAGAGGGAAGGAAAGAAGGTGGGAAAGAGGGAGGGAAGGGAGGGAGGAAGGAAAGAGAGAAGGAGGGAGGGAAAGAAGGAAGGACAAAAGGAAAGAGGGAATGAAAGAAAAAAGCAGAAAAGAAAGAAAAGAAGCAAAGAAAGAGGTAGCGAAGGAAGGAAGGAAGGAATGAGGGAGGGAGGGAAAGAAAAAGGAGGAAGGAAGGGAAAGGAAGGAAGGAAGGAAGGAAGGAAGGAAGGAAGGAAGGAAGGAAGAGGAAAAAAAGAAAGAAGAGATGGAAGGAGGGAGGATTGGACTTTGGGAAGGAAAGAGGGAGGGAAGGAACAAAGGAAAGAAAGAGAGAAGGATGGAACCAGAGAGCAAAGGAAGGAAGGAACGAAAGAGGTAGAGAAGGAAGAAAGGAGAGAAAGAAGGGAAAGAAAAAGGAGGAAAGGAAGGAGAGAAAGAAAGAAGGTGAGAAATGTTGGCCACAGCAATGCATGCCAGGTACAGCTAGTACAGTAATAAAAAGTCAAAATTCAAACTCCTCCTGGGACGAACAACTAAATTTTCTAGGAAAAGTTGGAGACTGGACTCAACTGTCAATCTTGCTTACTTGTGCCTTCTTTCTGTGTCCTTTCTTGCCTTGTTTTCCGTACACCTGTGGCAGGGTTGTTTTAGCTTCTTATTCCAACTTTTAGCATCTAAGCTGCTTTTTTGTGCGGCTGGCTTTTTGATGTTTCTCAGCGTTTTTGGGGTCTTTTGTTCGACGTGCAACAAGTGTGTGGCTCTGCCTGTTTTCTCGTTTTGTGGAGTTTGTATCTTGGGAGGAAGTTGTATTTTGGGGAGCTGGGAGTTTGGGAAGGGGATGGAGAAGGGTAGGGTTGGAGGGCGGAATCAAAGCCACGTTTTCCTTCTCTACGGGTTGTTTATGGGGGTTGTATATGTGGTTGGAGGCTTTGGGGAATGGTGGTAAACAAATGGAGTGTGCCCAATGACGTCACTTGGGATGGTGTCACCCCATGGACCAAAATAAGTAGCTGAAATAGAATCATGTAGCCACAGAGTTGGTAGAGACCACTTGAGGCCATCCAGTCCTACCCAATTGTGTCATATAGCAAGACACTATCCAAGCCCTCTTGACAGATAGACATCCAATCACCTCCAGAGTTGGTAGAGACTACCTGAGGCCATCTAGTCCTACCCAATTGTGTCATATAGGAAGACACCATCCAAGCCCTCCTGACAGATAGCCATCCAGTCATCTTCAGTTGGTAGAGAACACCTGACGCCATCTAGTCCTACCCAATTGTGTCATATAGGAAGAGACCATCCAAGCCCTCTTGACAGATGGCCATCCAATCATCTTCAGAGTTGGCAGAGACATCCTTAGGTCGTCCAGTCCTACCCAATTGTGCTGTATAGGTAGACACCATCCAAGCCCTCCTGACAGATGGCCATCTAATCATCTTCAGAATTGGTAGAGACCACCTGAGGCCATCCAGTCCTACCCAATTGTGTCATATAGGAAGACACCATCCAAGCCCTCCTGACAGATAGCCATCCAATAATCTTCAGTTGGTAGAGGCCACCTGAAACCATCCAGTCCTACCCAATTGTGTCATATAGGAAGACACCATCCAATCATCTTCAGAGTTGGTAGAGACCACCTGAGGCCATCCAGTCCTACCCAATTGTGTCATATAGGAAGACACCATCCAAGCCGTCCTGATAGATGGTCATCCAATCATCTTCAGAGTTGGTAGGGACCTCCTGAGGCCATCCAGTCCTACCCAATTGTGTCCTATAGGAAGACATCATCCAAGCCCTCCTGACAGATAGCCACCCAGTCATCTTCAGAGTTGGTAGAGACCACCGGAGGCCATCCAGTCCTACCCAATTGTGTCATATAGGAAGACACTACCCAAGCCCTGCTGACAGATGGCCATCTAATCATCTTCAGAATTGGTAGAGACCACCTGAGACCTTCCAGTCCTACCCAATTGTGCTGTATAGGTAGACACCATCCAAGCTCTTCTTACAGATGGCCATCTAGTCATCTTCAGAATTCGTAGAGACCACCGGAGGCCATCCAGTCCTACCCAATTGTGTTATATGGGAAGACCCTACCCAAGCCCTCCTGACAGATGGCCATCTAGTCATCTTCAGAATTGGTAGAGACCACCGGAGGCCATCCAGTCCTACGCAATTGTGTCATATAGGAAGACACCATCCAAGCCATCCTGATAGATGGTCATCCAATCATCTTCAGAGTTGGTAGAGACCTCCTGAGGCCATCCAGTCCTACCCAATTGTGTCCTATAGGAAGACACCATCCAAGCCCTCCTGACAGATAGCCATCCAGTCATCTTCAGTTGGTAGAGAATACCTGAGGCCATCCAGTCCTACCCAATTGTGTCATATAGGAAGACACAATTCAAGCCCTCCTGATAGATGGCCATCCATCTTCAATATTGGGAAGAATTCCTTCTAGGACAGGGTTCCTTAAACTTCTCCACTCATGATCCCTTTTGGCCCAATAAATGTTTATATGCTCCTGGGTATATAGGTATATAAAATAGGTATGAAAATCAAACATTTACTGATAAAAAAAAAATCAATATTTGCAAGGTTTGCTAAACAGGCTGACTTTCCTTTTTAAGAAGTACAACTGAAGATGGGTTGCTGTGAGTTTTTTGGGCCACGAAAGCCTTCGACAACACACAGATTCATGTGAATTCCTACAATAGCCACTAGGTGGCAGGTTGCACACATTATTTTGGTTGCTCTTCATTCAGAAGCCAATTTAGGTGAATTCTACACTCATTTCCATGACCCCAAATGGGGTTGCGACCCATAGTTTAAGAAGCATTGAACTAGAAGACCCTTTGGGCCCCTTCAATCGCTATCCTACTATGAAACAACACTGGCTTTGATAGGCCTTTTGCCTCATCCAGCGGTGCTGTCCCGTCCATATTCTCTGTCCCACGAACCCAAGTATTTCCTCACAAAGTCCAATTGCCGTATCTTAGTGTGAAATGTAGTATCTCTTTATAGGTTATGAGACTCAGTCGGGACCTTTCTCCCAAATCGGCAAGTATTTCCCCTTCGGTTTCAGTGGCAGTTCCTCTGTTTCAGTCTCTCATTTTTTTCTCCCCTGCTTTTCTTGTTCGTACCTGGCAAAGACGAGCATCATGTTCAGTGCAAGGCGACGTCTGTTCTGGTTTGTTCCAATGTGTTTGTTGCAACTATGGGAACCAAGGGAGGAGGAATTCTAGGGAGTGAAGTTTAATAAAGGCCTAGATTTGGTTTAGGGAAGAGGCCAGAAAAGGACATTGGGATCCATGAACATTCAAGAGGCCTCCATAGTCACTCTCACTTTTGGTGGGAGGAAAAGAAACATCCAAATCAAACAGAAATGCATGAAACCGTGAAAAATAACTCCAGTGCGTTTCCACAAGGACCCAGAACCCTGCATTACCCCATGTGGCCCTTTTGAGAGATCCTGAATGCCACTGAAATTGGTTTTTGGAATTTGAGCGCAGTAGGTTAAACCGCTGATCTGCTGAACTTGCTGATCAAAAGGTTGGCAGTTTATTTATTTATTTACGGCATTTATACGCCACCCTTCTCACCTCGAAGGGGACTCAGAGCAGCTTACAATATATATTTTAATACAATATATTATATTATTAGCATAGTACAATATCAGTATTATATATTATTATATTGCACTATAGCATTATATTGTAATATTATTAGTAATATTACATGTAATGTAAATATATATATATATATATATATATATAATGTAAATATATAAATATAAGTTTATTTATTTATTATTTATTTATTTACGGCTTTTCTATTCTGCCCTTCTCACCCCGCAGGGGACTCAGGGCAGATTACAGTGTACACATATATGGCAAACATTCAATGCCAATTTTTGACATACAAACATATAAAGACATACACAGAGGCTATTTCACTTTTTTCTGGCCGCCAGGGGAGCTGTCGCTTTCATCGTCCATCTGCGACGCTGATGAAGTACTTCCGCATTCCCCGCATGCTTCCCCGCTGGAATGCTTTGCTGGAGTCTTCTTTATGGCCTCATAAATCAGTTAATTTAGCCTCCCCACACTTTAAGGTAGTACCTAATTTTCCTACTTGACAGATGCAACTGTCTTTCGGGTTGCAAAGGTCGATAACAGGCTACACACGATTGGAAACCCACTCCAACCCGGGCTGGCTTCGACACATGACCTTTTGGTCAGAGTGATCTTAATGCAGCTGACACTCAGCCGGCTGCACCACAGTTTGAATCTGGGGAGCGAGGTGAGCTCCGACTGTTAGTCCCAGCTTCTGCCAACCTAGCAGTTCGCAAACATGCAAGCGTGAGTAGATAATAGGTACCACTTCTATGGGAAGGTAACAGTGCGCCATGCAGTCATGCCGGCCACATGACCTTGGAGGCGTCTATGGATAACGCCGGCTCTTCGGCTTAGAAATAGAGATGTGCACCAACTCCCAGAGTCAGACACAACTAAACCTAATGTCAGGGGGAAAGCTTTACCTTTATTATACAGTGTTCCCTCACTTATTGCGGGGGTTATGTTCCAGGACCTCCCGCAATAAGTGAAAAACTGTGATGTAGGGGTGCTATATTAATTTTAATATTTATACATTATTTTAGTAATTTTACACTTTTTTTAAGTGAAGGAAAGGAAGGAAAGGCCCTTCAAGGCTGGAGTGAGTGAGAGAAGACTGAGGAGGGAAAGCGCCTCGGGGAGCGGCGGTGGCAAAAACCCATGAAACAGGGAAAATACTGCAATATATATTTTAAATTAATACTTTTTGAAAACTGCGAAACAGCAGGTCTGCTAAAAGCGAACTGCGAAGTAGCGAGGGAACACTGTACATACAGTTGCACCTGAAGCACACCTGTTATCTTTTGCAGGGCCTTCCTAGCACAGGAGACAGACTTAGGGTACGTCTTCAGTGTAGAAAGAATACACCAATCCTTGCTTCCACAACAAGCCACATTTTCCAAAATCCAATTCTCTCGGGGACAGAAAGTGAGGTGGCACAGGCAACAAAGGAAACTCCACAGGTGCTATCCTAACCTTATATAGCTATATGTATAGCTATATGGCTGGACTAACACTTGAACAATGTGCCTGTAGAATCGTAGAATCATAGATTCAAAGAGTTGGAAGAGACCTCATGGGCCATCCAGTCCAACCTCATTCTGCCAAGAAGCAGGAATATTGCATTCAAATCACCCCTGACAGACGGCCATCCTGCCTTTGTTTAAAAGCTTCCAAAGAAGGAGCCTCCACCACACTCCAGGGCAGAGAGTTCCACTACTGAACGGCTCTCACAGTACTGAGTTACATACAAATTCAACTTGAGAACAAAGCTAGAGAGCCCCCTTGTTTGTAAATTGGGAGTGCCTGTACTTAGGACAAGACTGAGCAAATGTAGCAAGACTGGGGCTGGCTGTATGCTGTAGGATTGGTGCAATTTGACCCCACTTTCACTGCCATAGTTCAATCTATGGATGGAAATTCTGGGAGTTGCAGTTTGGCGCTGGGTTCCTTTGGCTGAGAAGGCTAAAGACCTTGTAAAACTACAACTCCCAGGATTCCGTAGCAAGTGAAGAGGTCTCAAACTGCATTAATCCTACAGTGGAGCCAGCCTTTGTTTGGTCTCTCTGGCAGTTGTATCAAGGCAAGGGATATCTCCAGCTGGCGCTTTGTTTGCAACCCTTCCCACCTTGTCTGTAGTGCACAGCTATATGTCATCTCTGGCACACATCAAACTACACAGGGTTTGTGTTACCACGTAATTGAAATGCTGGTTTTGGTGGCCTTGGGCTGGGCAAGGGTCAGAGAATGCCAGCGTTCAACAAACAAGACAGACCTAGCAGTAAAAGCCATCAAGACTTCAAAACAGACTTTGGGGGGATCTCTGCCTATCCGTGCCAATTTTGCTTCTCATTTCTTCTCCTCCATGCATTGCGCTCGGAATGACTACAGTTGACATTAAAAAGCTGGTCGCAGGTAGGATGCATGACGGAAAATGTGTGGTTGTGCGCATTGCGGGTTGTTAGTAAATTATCCCCATACCTTTAGAGATGTCATCCCATTCCTCTCCATTTGTGTAGTATGGATTCGAGGCCTGTTTCCCCTTTGTGCATTGACGTGATGTCTCGTCTTCCTGGAAATCCTTGGATCTGAATCAAAACCATGCACTCATGGGAAATAATTAATTTGTGGGATTGTAGCTCTCAGAATCCTCCTTCCAGCTTGTCTGCGAGTTGTTGCAGTCCAGAAAAAGAACTTTTCTAAGCTCATTTGCAAATGCCTGGATTGTTGTTCCAATATCTGGCTGGAGGATTCTGTCAGGGGGAAAACAAAACAATCTAACCAGGTAGGTACCTGATTTATCGTTCCTTCTATCCCACCTTCCTGTGCTCTGCATGGGACTGATTGTCCCAGGCAAGCAATTAGATCAAACCAAAACATTGCAGAGTCTTTGATCTGTAGTTAGCAGAGATTTTACTGTACAACCTCTGACCTCCTTGCTGCTCACTGTTTTAATAAAACACTTGAAACTTGCATTGGAGGCTTCGATCTTGATTAGTTGCTTATGTACAGCTATATAGACATGAGGATTCCCTGATCTGCTCTCAGTATATGCAGAGACATACTCACAGCAACAATATTATTTCCAGTATTTATATTCTGCCCTTCTCACCCCAAAGAGGACCCAGGGCAGATCACAATGCACACATCCACGGCAAACATTCAATGCCATTTTTGGATAAACACAACAGACAGACAGATAAAAGTATTTTGGCATTTCCAACTTCAGTGCCTGGAAGTTATGCTCGATTCTGGCCACAAGGGGTGATGTTCATTCACTATGACGCTGATTAATTTTGATTGCATTTCCTCCTCGTACTTTGATCGCCGGCATTTTTATGGTGTCATAAAATACCTCCCCTAATTTCTCTACTCACAGCTCAGCTGCTTAGGTAGACAGTAAGCTAGGCTTAACAGTCGGGTGCTCAATCTGATTCGGACTTCGAATTTGCCACCTTATAGTCAGCAATGATCTATTGCCGTAGGTTTAGCACAGTCAGCAATTATAAGATCTATCAATCAAAAGGTTGCAAGTTCGAAGCCCCAAGCTGGCGTGAGCTGCCAACTGTCAGCCTAGCTCATTGTTTAAGCAATTCCAAAACAGCTTTAGCTGTGATTAATGAAATTAGGTAGCGCTAAATAGTGGGGGAGTTGTTTTACGATGCCATAAAGGAAGTAGATCAGAAAATTCTGGGTGTCCAAAAGGAAGGAGGAAGTCCTGACAGCTCTTCGTCATAGAGGAAAGAGCAATAGCACCCCCTGGACTCGAGCCCAACCTTCCATGGCACCTCCTTCTGTTCTGTCTGTCTGTGTATTGTCTATACAAAGCGGCATTGAATGTTTTGTTGGCGTTAGCGGAAGTTTTGCACAGGCTTAGAAGAAAACATGGACTCTGGAGACAAAGCAGGTTCAATTTTACTTAGAGCAGTTCCAAAACACAACCATTACATTAAGCGACCAGACATGAAGTACGCAGTACACAGGACAAAGGAAGTAGAAGTGTAAACAATTCTGCAGCTGCTTGGCAAATACCAGACACTCCCTAATTTTCTCACAACTCCACATAGAGAGTATCTCAGGGCTACTTTCTCACAGCCTCTCACATAAACATACATCACAGCAATACAAGGAGCCCCCGGTGGCGCAGTGGGTTAAACCCCTGTGCCGGCAGGACTGAAGACTGACAGGTTGCAGGTTCGAATCCGGGGAGAGGCGGATGAGCTCCCTCTATTAGTTCCAGCTCCTCATGCGGGGACATGAGAGAAGCCTCCCACAAGGATGATAAAACATCAAAAATCATCTAGGCGTCCCCTGGGCAACGTCCTTGCAGATGGCCAATTCTCTCACAACAGGATGCTACTGACACGACAAACAGAAATACAATCTTGTGGCATCCATATTTCTACTGCATGAAATTACATTTAAAACACATTACATCCTTCAACATATACTGACACGTTTGCCATGTATGTGTACTGTGATCCGCCCTGAGTCCCTTTTGGGGTGAGAAGGGCGGATTATAAATACAGTATTATTTATTTATTTACTTACTTACTTCATTTATATACCGCTTTTCTCAGCCCTTAGGCGACTCATTATTATTATTATTATTATTATTATTATTATTATTATGGTGATTAGCCCGGCCCTCAATAATATGGCGAGAAGTGATGATCATCACAAGACATTCACATGGCAAGGGAGAGCACACATGCTTACTTTTATACTCATAGGCTTCTCATCATCAAACAGGGACAACAGTGAATGATGTAGCCCTCATCATCATACCTGTCACAGGGTGATGACTCTTTCCTTTTCCTGTCCCTCCAGTTCCACATCACCAGTTACTTTATTCTTCCGTGGATGTATGTGACCACATGTCGATTAGAACTGTATTTTTCCACACAGTAATGCATAGGAGTTACAGATATTGCATTTCTATCTAACAGAGCATTATCCACCTAACTGATTCTGGGAATGGTGTTCCTTGGAAATCCTTCTGGGTTTGGAAAGGTTCCTCATTTTGGATCCCCAAAATCTTCCAACAGCCAATAGCCAAGATGGCAAGATGGAGAACTGTAATCCAGCAAAGTTTTATTTCCCCCATAAACTATGAGTGCATGGTTCTCATTCAGATCTAAAATTTTTCCAAAAAAGGCACTTTTTATCATGTGTTGGAATTTCTATCCTGCAATATTTGGGGGAAAGTGAGTCTGATTTGTTGTGTCTCTGTGCTTTGAAGCCTCCAGTCAACCCATTAACTTCAGGCAAGGAATATTTGGAAGTGGTTTTGCAAGATTGTTCCTCTGAAATATAGCCTGGAACTCATTGGATTCTTGGATTTGTAAACCTTCATCTCATGTGTGCTGTATGTCTGTGCATGGGCGCGTGTGTATAGCCCAGGATGTATCTATACTGGAGAATGAATGCAGTTTGACACCGCTTTAACTGCCATGGCTTAATGCTATGGAATCCTTGTGGTTTGGTGTAGTTTGGCAAAAAAGGCATGATTCCAATACATCAAGCCATTGCAATTAAAGTGAGTTACAGTTTTACAAAGCCAATGCTTTCTCTGCCAAAGGGTGCTGGTGTCTTCTCAAACTACAACTCCCAGGATTCCATAGCATCGAACCGTGGCCGCTGAAGTGGTGTCAAACTACGTTCATTCTACATTGGAGATGCATCCTCCAGACCTTTTCTGAAAGCATTGGGTTATAGGTGGGAGCATAAATTAGGACAAATTATGACTGCGGTTTTGGTTTCCTGCTACCCAGGTGAGGCCTCTTTCACCTGGCGAGCTTCACAATATGAAGACAAGCTCTTGGTAGCTCCCATGCCATGATTATGATTATGATTATAGTAATATTATCCCATGTTTATCTCTTGATTGAGATACAAAGCATCCTCTAAGCCAAACGGTTCAGCAGCTGTCCTGAACGGAGTTTCCTTCGTATCCCTTTTGGACGGCCAATCTTACCTTTTCTGTGGATTTACCCCAAAAATCTTGCCAAATGCCAAAGGTGCATGGCCTCTAGCTGAACCGCAAACCCAAATGCCTTCCCTGCATGGCTGCATGAGATGCTGCTTGTTCCATTTGTGCCCCTTATTGGCTTTTCGGGGCCTGTTTCCCCAAGACCCACCTTGCCCTTGGCTTTCCACCCGCTCTCCTTGCAGTGGCCTGGTTCTCCTTCGACCCCAGCACAGCTCATTCGGACATCATCTTCTCCAACGACAACTTGACCGTCACTTGCAACAGCTACGATGACCGGGTGGTGCTGGGCAAGACGGGCTTCTCCAAAGGGCTCCACTATTGGGAGCTGTCCATCGACCGCTATGACAACCACCCGGACCCGGCCTTCGGAGTGGCCCGGATGGATGTCCTCAAGGACGTCATGCTGGGGAAGGACGACAAGGCCTGGGCCATGTACGTGGACAACAACCGCAGCTGGTTCATGCACAACAACTCACACACCAACAGGTATGTGGACCCTGTTTTGGGGGACACTCAGTGGGGGCTCTCCATCCTCATTCATTCTCTTTCTCTCTTCATCAGAGATTTCAGGGGTCCCAAAAAAGGCAAATTAGGATTCCCCTGGATTTGCAGTCACAGAAACAAGCAATAGTTTCTGCTGCTCTTCCCCTGCCTCTGTGCTCTTTGAATTTTGTCTTTCAGCTAAGAGTGCTTGATGGTTCACTGTTTATTATTGTTTCAAACTATTTACAGTTACTGACACTCAGACAGTCACGATGGAAGAGAGGAATCAAATGCATGGTCGGCACTTACAAATCATAGCTTATTTCTGTGTTGACACCCTAGACATTGCATATGTCTGACTTGACCGGATGGGTCATTTTGGTCCAGATTCTCCAGGGACTGAGAAATTTTAACCCTTCAGTTACCATGCTACCAGCCACATGTCTTGGGGATGATTTTTTTCCCCTGACATACCTCCACCAAACAATTAATACAGAGTACATTTTCTGAATGGCTCAAGAATGAACCTGGGAGTTTCTCGCCAAAGTCTAATTGCGTTTTAGCCCTACTCTAGCAAATTGCAACCCATGAGGCCAACTTTAAACAGTTTTTATATTAGAACCAATTAGGAAATGACATTTATAACCCAGGAACAAAAATCGCCTATGTGTTTTCCTCCTCCACAGGACCGAAGGTGGCATCACCAAAGGGGCGACAGTTGGAGTCCTGCTGGACTTGAACAGGAGGACTGTGACGTTCTCCATCAATGAAGACCAGCAGGGACCAGTGGCCTTTGAGAACCTGGAAGGCGTCTTCTTCCCCGCTGTCAGCCTGAACAGAAATGTTCAAGTAAGGAGAAGGGGGTTGCTGCTTTTAGGAGATGGAATGGGGATAGACTTTGGAAGAGTCTAGTCCTGTCTGAAGTTGCAAGCTTCTAGGGAAGGATGGAGGAGACAGAGGATTGAAGCTTTGAGGTGCCTCTACACCAGGTATGGGCAAACTTGAGCTATCCAGGTGTTTTGGACTTCAACCATAATTCCTAACAGTTGGAAGTTTTCCCATGCCTGATTTACACTGTAGGAGAAATGCAGCTTGACACTGATAACTTCCATGGCCCAAGGCTATAGAACCCTAGAAGTTGTCATTTTGCAAGGTCTTTTGCCTTCTCTGCCAAACAGTGTCTTACCAAACTTGAGCTTCTGTGATTCCACAGCATTGTACCATCATGGTTTCAAAACTACTTTCATTCTACCAGTTGATGCAGCCAGAGAAGTCTGAGAACTTTACAAAACTACAACTGACATGGCTCCATAGCACTGAGCCATGGCAATCCAAGTTGTGCCAAACTGTATTGATTCTACAGTGTAGATGCACCCCTTGAGAGGAGCTATGAATTTGAGGTAGAGATGATCAACACAACCAATTCACCTCCTGATATTTTACCAAGGCCCATTCCATAAGACACAATTGGAGAGGTATTATTCCACTCTTAACTTCCTTGATATGACTCCATGAAAACCTAGGATTTGCAGTTTAGGAAGAAGATGCCTAGAGAGGATGCCTCTCAACAAATCTCTAGGCCCTTCAGTGCAATCCATGGTACCCTTAGACCAAATCTAAGACAATTTAACTGGGTCCAACTCTGTATTATTTTTCTTTCCAAGGTTTTGCCGGTGTTAGTATCTAGGCCCCAGATACACTTTGCTACTTAATTTTTTAAGAGCAACTTCAATCAATTGACCACCCTGAGTATGGAAAAATGTCATCAGAGCTGTTGTTGTTTTCTCAGCTTTCAGCTTCATTGATTCCCTGTGACATTTCCAGGAAAGAGATTAACTGAAAATAAGTCCCAGATATTTGAATAGATTTTTTTTTCTCTCCAAAATATACTAAGGAAAATAGCAAACATCTTTGCTGCTTTCATTGATCTTTCTGTTGCTTTTGATTCTATTAACAGAAAGAGATTATTGGGAAAGCTACAGAATTCACAGACTATTGAGATTAATACAGCAACAATACACTAACACAGAAATGAGGGTGAGAGTTGACAGAACTGACTCTCCTTCACCAGTAATCAGGAACAGAAAGATTTTCGTCCTGATGTATGCAGATGATATAGTACTTTTCTCCCTCTCTCAGTTGGGTCTTAACAATGTTTTGAAAGCTTTCAGTACCTACTACCGAGAGGATTATCTGTCAATAAATTACTCCAAGACCAAGGTTATGGGTTTTGATGGACACTCCCCCAGGTATAAATGGTCTTTAGATCAACATGCCATAGCATAAACCCATCTATTCATTATTTTTCTTTCCAAGGATGAAACGAGTCTGTCTAAACTCGTTCTGGCCCAACTTACCTGTCCAAATGTATCTCCCCTTACAAACCATCAAGGACTTTAAGATCATCTGGGGAAGCCCTGCTCTCGGTCCCGCCTTCATCACAAGTACTTTTGGCGGGGATGAGAGACAGGGCCTTCTCAGTCATGGCCCATGGTCAGAATGGTATTAACTGAGAATCCAAGGTTTAGGATTTTCTCTTGAACTATCTTTTTCCACCTTGATTGGAATAGATCATCAAGGGTCAATGGAACCAAACCTCTGGGCAAAAATATTAGTTTTAACCAAAGATTTAATTTATACATCCAGATCCGAGACTCAACAGAGATCTGACCTGTCTCCAAAAGTAAAATTACGTTAGACACATAGCTTGGGAGGCCAAGGATGCTTCTTATAAATTTTGTCTGGATGGTTTCTAAGGCCTTGACATTTTTAAATGCACACAGATGTGCTCCATATAACATTTGAGGCTGAATCTTAGCATTAAAAACTTGAATTGCTGAAAGTACATGCTGGCCACCTTTTCCATAAAAAAATGATAAAAGTGAATTGTAACTCCGCTGTGTATTTGCTATAGAATGGGATACTTGGGCATTCCAGGAACCGGTAGACTGGAAAATGACTCCTAGATATTTATAGAGTTTAACTTGCTCAATTGGATGTCCGTTGATTTGCCAGCGGTGTATGCATCTTTTCAGTGTGAAAACTAACACTTTTGATTTATCATAATTAATTGCGAGCTATTCAGCATTGCAGTACTCATCTAGCCCTTTTAGGAGCCATCTCAGCCCAACACATGTTAGTGATAAAAGCACAAGGAGAGAGAGAATACACTGTACATGACTTCCTTATATACAATTCTGTACATTTACACATAGCAATCACTGATTGGTTCCCAACTCAAACCCAGGATTGCATCATTCACAATCACCTGGACCAGGCCAGAACACTTTCCCCAAATGATGTCCTATATGCAGTTAATGCATGACTCAGCATTTCCAATAGAAGCCTATTAGCAGTGCATGACTCAGCTATATTACATTACAATACATTGTAAAACCTGACATAAATAAATAAATAGGGCTGGCTGTGTGTGGTGATGGGTGAATCAGGAATTCAATTGGAGTGAGATTGTAAAATGCCAGGCAGATTAACACTATGGTCAATGGCCTTTGTTTACAGGTGACGCTCCACACCGGTTTGCCCGTCCCGGATTTCTACAACGCGCGGGGCTCCATGCAGTGAAGTGCAACCGCCTGCCCCGTGGCTTTTTCTCAGGACTCACCGAGAGAGCCGCGCTTTGGGTTTTCTCAAGGAACAGACCTCATTGGAGAAAGGAGGGGAAGATCTGGCTGTGTGGAAACTCCGGGTTCTCAACAAATAGAACAAAAGAACCCTATTTTTGAAGGAACAAAATAGAAAAAGGGGTAGCATCCAGAAGTTCCCTTTTGGCCTCTCCGAACCCCATGTGCTTTGTGCCTGTGTGTTTTGCGCTGCTCGTTTCCCCCTCTTTTTGGCTGACTGCAAGAAAGCCCCAGATCAAAATGTCAACTCTTTTGGGTCTAAGTCCATTCTGAGATGGACCCTGGATTTCCATGATGAACGACAAAGTCCTTAGATAGCCAAGAAAAAACTGTCAGTTTTGAGGGGGATCTGGGTTTCCTTCCATTTTGGAATCCCTTCCAAAAATGGGAACTGAATTCCCATGATGCAATCTCCTTGAGTCATTCAGATATCCCGACCTGAAGGATCCATCCTTCTCAAAACCAGAATTCAGAAAATGAGCATCCGGCAAGAAACGCATTTCCTGGGTTGACTTTCTCTCCTCGGTTTCCCTCCTTGTGGCCTTCCTTGCTGAATTCCACAGCATCAGAAACATTGGCCTTGGATTGCCACTTACTCTACATACAAAGCCATGTCGAACGAACCAAGTGAAATCAGATTTTTCTTTTAATTTTTCATGCTTTTCTCTGGTCAAAGCAGAAATATGGGTCCAAAAGGTAATGGGATTTGGGGCCCAGAATGGGACATTGGTTCTCTTTTTTCCCCCCTGGAAACAGGAGACATGACTCTGACACATTCTTGCTGCAGAGCATTGCTTTCCAATTTCATACTTTTTAACAAATGTGGCATTTTTCGGTGACGGAAGATCTCACGGTGCTTCATCAACAGAAGATCAGCTCTGGAAAATGATGACATTTATGAGAAACCATTGGTTCATGCCTTCTTTGGAAGGAATGGAGCCGCCATGCTTGTCTTTCATGTTTCTGCTGCTTTTGCATTTGAGATGGTCTCTATTTTTTTCTTGAATAGCAAATGGTGCGCACAGGTTGTGACAGCAGGGAGTCCCAAAGGCTAACCCTTTTCTCTTTGTGCTCCAAGAGAACAAAAAGTCCAGGAAGAAATGGTTTTGAGTGGAAGAAGATAGCAACAAAAATGGGAAAGAGTATAGTATAGAAAAGCAATGTCTTAATGTATTGTCGAAGGATTTCATGGCAGGAATCACTGAGTTGTTGTAGGTTTTTTTGGGCTATATGGCCATGGTCTAGAGGCATTCTCTCCTGACGTTTCGCCTGCATCTATGGCAAGCATCCTCAGAGGTAGTGAGGTCTGTTGGAACTAGGAAAAAGGGTTTATATATCTGTGGAATGACCAGGGTGAGACAAAGGACTCTTGTCTGCTGGAGCTAGGTGTGAAGTGAATAATGGCCTGACAGTGCCTGGAGCAAACTTTTGTTGAGAGGTGATTAGATGTCCTTGTTTGTTTCCTCTCTGTTGTTGTGCTGTTGCAATTTTAGAGTATTTAATACTGGTCTGGTTACCAGTATTAAAAAAACTCTAAAATTGCAACAGCACAACAACAGAAAGGAAACAAACAAGGACATCTAATCACCTCTCAACAAAAGTCAGGCACTGCCAGGCCATCAAATGCTAATCAAGGTGGTCAGTTGAAACATTCACACCTAGCTCCAGCAGACAAGAGTCCTTTGTCCCACTCTGGTCATTCCACAGATATATAAACCCTTTCCTAGTTCCAACAGACCTCACTACCTCTGAGGATGCTTGCCATAGATGTAGGCGAAACGTCAGGAGAGAATGCCTCTAGACCATGGCCATATAGCCCGAAAAAACCTACAACAACCCAGCAATGTCTTAGATTACAACTCCCAGAATCCTCAACCAATCTGACCTGGGGATTTGGGGAATGTAGTCCAATAATTTATCTAGCTCTGAGGAAGGAGAGCTATGGTACTGTATGTAGAACATTAGGGGTGACCACACTTTTCTCCATAAATCAGATTTGTGTTGAAACCAAAATATATGCAGAAGGGAGAGAGTATTCTTGAAGGTAGTAGCTCTTCAGGTACTGGAGATAGTAACCCAACTATAGAGAGAAATGGGTAGGAAGTAAAAAAAAACTCAGCAGTGAATGGGGAGAGGGGCCTCAATAAACAGTGAGGGGGAAATGGCCCATGATCTTAGTTAGCTCTACACTAAGGCAAAATAGGAAATAAACAAGATGAACTTGAACTCTTAATATCACAAAGCAAACATGAAAGGCAAGCATCATGGAAAGCTGGTGGTACGAGTCTCCCAGCCATTATTAGAATGTAGTAATAGAGAGGTATAACCTATTTCTGAGAAGTAGACCAAACAGGAAAGGGGGAAGAAATAGCATTATGTGTCAAACTTCCTAACAGTAAGAACTGTTTGACCATGGAATACGCTGCCTGGGAGTGGTGAAGTCTCCTTCCATCTCTGGGGTTGATGGGGTTGATGGCCATCTGTCAGGAATTTGGATGGTGTCTTCCTGCCTGGCAGAGGAGGGTGGACTTGATGACATTTGGGGTCTCTTCAAACTGTATCAGTCTTTATGAGAGAAGGAGATTATCTCCAAAGACGCAGCATAATCCACTGTCAAAAAGCTCTTACTGTCACAAAATTGTTCCTAAGATCTAGGCAGAAGCTCTTTTCCTGCCATTTGAACCCATTGCTTGCTCCATTGTGTCCTGGTCTCTAGAGCAGCACAAAACAGACTTATCCCCTCCTCAATGGGAAACATGGCTTTCATGTCCCCTTTTAACCATTTTGGTTGTCCTTCTCAGGACACAATCCGGTATGTCCATCTTCTTGTATTGTGGCACCCAGAACTGGATTGTGAAGTCTGACTGAAGAAGACTAACGTGGGGCTATGACTTCCCTTGATCTGGAGTGACACTCAATTCTTGATGCAGCCTAGAATTGTGTTGGCTTTGTAGCTTATCCATCAGGAGGCCTACAGAGTCTTTGGTCAGGTCATTCTTTGAAGCTGGAGATCTGAAGGGTCCAGATCTTGATCTATCTAGCATAGGTTCCACATCCACTTGAGGGAGTTGGGTTGTCAGGACACCCCTTGAGGGACTCTACTCCAGACCAGAGGCTGGTGCCAAGGGTCCAGATCTTGATCTATCTGGCGTAGGTTCCACATCCTGGCCATAGACATCCACTTGAGGGAGTTGGGTTGTCAGGAACCCCTTGAGGGACTCTACTCCAGACCAGAAGCTGGTGCCAATGCAAACAATGATGGAAAATAGGTTATATGACACACAAGGGCCTATTACTTGGGATAACCCAAACAGAGTAGACTCAATGAATCAATGGAATGTATTTATATGCTGAACTAATGTTCAGCAGTTCACCGAATGCAGGGGTGGGTTGCATTTGGTCCTTGGATATCCCAGATGCAGGCAAGGTGGCATCCAGATTGGTGGAGTTATATAATTTGGGAGGAGATCTTGGGCAAAGCAGATCTAGAGACCTTCCTACATAAGCTAGGAAAAGCATCCAAGCAATTGTGCGACTTCTCAGTGACCAAACTAATGAACTTCAGATTTTGGGTTCATTTCACCCTACATTTTTGTGGATTCCATGGAACCACCTTAAATGGACAACTGGGGGTCAAGCTGAGAGTCCTTCTTGGCAGTATTTGGTACAGAGCAAGTTTCAAGTGGCACGATTCAGTTTTGACTGCATCCTGGTGCTTCTTACATATCTCCCTTTATGGGCTGTGAGGAAGGGAGGATGTCTGTCTGTAACCAGTTTTAGATGTCCTCACCTTTCAATATCTCACATTGTCATGTTGCCTTCTTAAAAAGACCTTGGTCGACTGATTTAGACTGAACTCCTCCAATGAGAGGACAGAAGGTGGTATCCTGATAGTGACATGCCTATGTGTACGTCATGCTACGTGTTTGGTCCAAAATATACACAAATGCGCCATGGAAAACTCTGTCGACAGCAACGGGAGTGGAGCTGTGCATAGATCAATGTTGCACAGTGGGAATACGTGGCCTTTGGCATGTGGAGCACAGCATTACTTTCCTGAATGGGTAGTGCTGGAATAAGTACATCCCTGCATGGGGATACGTATACTATGCTGATGTTGGACCATGGACAAAGCCACACCGCAGTGATGTGCTCGTAGATATATGGCGAAATGTACAGTAGACGCTGTATGTGATTTGTGCAAAGGCAGCTCCTGTTCAACTCTGGCTCTGGGATCTTTAACTAAATAGCTGCTATGCTGTGGCCAAAATTGTACAACCCCAGGCACAAGGGAACATGAGATCCCTATGCGGCTCATGATTCACATGGAGAAAAGACTCTTGGCCAGATATCCAAGGCCCCATCCTCTCCATGCATTTACATTCTCAGGAAATTCAACATGCCTTGGTGGAAACAAAGCCAGCCAGATGTTTTATCATCAAAATATAGTGCATTGACATGGTAACTTTAATTCCTTATGACTCCCCCATCTGCACTGTTCGTTCAACATCATTTAATATCAGTGTCGTTGTGTGCCTTCAAGTCATCGCTGACTTATGGAGACTCTGAGGCCAAGCTATCGCAGGCAGAATGGGTTCAGAGGGGGGTTGCTATGTCCTTCTTCTGAGGCTGAGAGAATGTGACTTGCCTAAAATAGGCTTCCATGGTAATGAGGGGAGTCAAGCCCTGGTCTCCCAATGCCCTAGTCCAGCATTTCTCAACCTGGGGGTTGGGACCCATAAGAGGTCATGAGGGGGTGTCAGAGGGGTTGCCAAAGACCATCAGGAAATACAGTATTGGGTTGTTGCAGGTTTTTTTCGGACTATATGGCCATGTTCTAGAGCAGTGTTTCTCAACCTGGGGGTCGGGACCCCTGTGGTGGTCACGAGGGGGGGGGGGGTCAGAAGGTCACCAAAGACCATCAGAAAACATAGTTTGTTTTCTTCCTATCAGCTTTCTTCACTGTTCAGTTGTTACAACCAAACAAAGGAATTGGAAATATGATAATATGGCATCACAACTTTTCCCCCAAACTCCACCAGTGTTCACATTTGGGCAATTCTATCATTGGTGGGGTTCAGAATGTTATTTCATTGTAGGTGAACTATAAATCCCAGCAACTACAACTCCCAAATTTTAAGGTCTATTTTCTCAAACTCCTCCAGTGTTCACGTTTCAGCATATTGAGTATTCATGACAATTTGGTCCAGATCCATCATTGTTTGAGTCCACAGTGCTCTCTGGATGTAGGTGAACTACAACTCCAAAAATTCAAGGTCATTGTCCACCAGATCCTCCCAGTATTTTCTCTTGGTCAAAGGAATTCTGTGTGCCAAGTTTGGTTCAATTTCATCATTGGTGGTGTTCAGAATGCTCTTTGATTGTAGGTGAACTATAAATCCCAGCCACTACAGCTCCCAAATGACAAAATCAATCCCCCAACCCCACCAGTATTCAAATTTGGGCATATTGGGTATTTGGGATTTGAAAATACATCCTGCACGTCAGATATTTACATTACAATTCATAACAGTAGCAAAATTACAGTTACGAAGTAGCAATGAAAACGTTATGGTTGGGGGTCACCACAACGTGAGGAACTGTACTAAGGGGTCGCAGCATTAGAAAGGTTGAGAAACACTGTTCTAGAGGCATTCTCTCCTGACGTTTCGCCTGCACCTATGGCAAGCATCCTCAGAGGTTGTGAGGTCTGTTGGAACTAGGGAAATGTTCTGACATTGTTCTGACAAGACATTGTTCTGACAAGCAGCAGAAGTGCAATGTATCTTGGTGACACAATCCTTAACTTGAACACATAGAGGGGAAATGAGGACCTGGATGCTGGTTGTCTTGGGGCATATACTCAGAGATTGGATAAGTTACTTTTGGGGATTGCAACACTCCATTTTCCCTAGCTAGGGTGACAATGACAGTCTAAAAAACGGAACTCAAGGCATTACTGCAAAATGTAGCATAGTGCTTTGGGTGCTAGGCAAGGATTTGTGGAGATCAGAGTGAGACTCCCCATTTATCCATGGAAACTCAGTGGGTGACCTCAGGAAAGTCATACTCTCTCAGCCTCAGTGAGTCCAGATTTTGCAGTCCAACTTCTGAATGTGTTGACTTTGAGGTGCATCTTTGGGTGGCTGGTCTCAGGATCGGAGCCCAACCCGTCTTCATGAAGGGCTTTGACGGGACGTTTCCTCCTTCGAATGCTTTTCATATCCATCCTTGGGACCTCCTCAGCTCCTGTCCCCTTCCTTGTGGCCAAACAGAGGCCACACTCCCCATTTTAGCAAAAGCAGACCTCTAGAAACCTGT